TGGGTTGGCTCATGCAGATCAAGAACCAGATCAGCCCCTTCATCTCCCAGGTGGGGGTCCCAGGGGGGTCTGGGGTGGTCCCAGGGGGGGTTGGGGTCTCCCCAAGTTCAGGGGCCTGGGCCAGCTCATGCAGATCAAGAACCAGATCAGCCCCTTCATCTTTCAGGTGGGGGCCTCAGGGGGATCCCAGGGTGGTCTGGGTGGTCCCAGGGGGGTCTGGGGTGGTCCCAAGGGGGTTTGGGGTCTCCCCAAACTGAGGGGCCTGGGCCAGATCACACAGATCAAGAACCAGATCAGCCCCTTCATATCCCAGGTGGGGGCCTCAGGGGGGTCCCAGGGGGGTCTGGGATCTTCTCAAGTTGAGGGGGGTGGGTTTTGGGGGGCTGGGAGCCAGGACTGGGCTGACTCACGCAGATCAAGAACCAGATCAGCCCCTTCATCTCCCAGGTGGGGGCCTCAGGGGGGTCTGGGGTGGTCCCAGGATGGTCTGGGGTGGTCCCAGGGGGTTTGGGGTCTCCCCAAGCTGAGAGGAGGTGGGTTTTGGGGGTTAGGAGCAGAGAGTGGGTTGGCTCATGCAGATCAAGAACCAGATCAGCCCCTTCATCTCCCACGTGGGGGCCTCAGGAGGGTCTCAGGGGGGTCTGGGGCGGTCCCAGGGGGTTTGGGGTCTCCCCAAGCTGAGGGGGGTGGGTTGGCTCACGCAGATCAAGAACCAGATCAGCCCCTTCATCTCTCGGGGGAGGAGGTTTTTTGGGGGATCTGGAGGGTCTGAGGGAGGTGGGGAAGGTTTTGGGGCATCACCACCAGCCTGGGGGGGGAGGATTCTTGGGGGGGTCTGGAGCTGGGAGGTGGTTCTGGAAGGTCTGGAAGGTGAGGGACGTTTTAGGGTGTCGCTCCCCCAGCTTGGGGGGTGGAGGTTTTTTGGGGGATCTGGAGGGTCTGAGGGAGGTGGGGGAGGTTTTGGGGGGGGTCTGGTGCTGGGGTGGGGAGTTTGGAAGGTCTGGGGTGTCACCACCAGCCGGGGAGAGGAGGTTTTTTGGGGGATGTGGAGGGTCTGGGAGGTGGGGGAGGTTATTTGGAGGATCTGGAGGGTCTGAGGGAGGTGGGGGAGGTTTTTGGGGGGGTCTGGAGCTGGAGGGGGGTGAGTTTGGAAGGTCTGGGGTGTCACCACCAGCCTGGGGGGGAGAAGGGGGGAGGTTTTGGGGTGTCACCACCAGCCAAGGAGGGGAGGTTTTTTGGGGGGGTCTGGAGCTGAGAGGTGGGTCTGGAGGGTCTGAGGGGGGGGGGGGGGGGTTTGGGGGGGGGCTTTCCCCCGGGGGCCCCCCCCCCAGATGTGTAACATGCTGGGCCTGGGGGACATGAACGCCGACCAACTGGCCTCCAAGCTGGAGGAGACCCTGCCCGTCATCCGCTCCGTCAGCGAGCAGTTCAAGGACCCGGTGAGCCCAGGAGGGGGGGCCTGGGGGGGTCACGGGGGTCCTGGGGGGGTCACAGAGGGGCACAGAGGGGGCACAGTGGGGCTGGGGGGTGGTAGGATGACAGGGAGGGGATGGGGAGATGGGGACAGTGCCCGTGAGCTGCTGCGTCAGTGAGGGGTTTGAGGGTTGGGGGGGTCTGGGGAGGGTCCCTGGGGGAAGTTGGGGGGTCACGGGGGTCCCAGGAGGGCACAGAGGGGCACAGGGGGGCTGGGGGGTGGTGGGATGACAGGGAGGGGATGGGGACAGTGCCCGTGAGCTGCTGGGTCAGTGAGGGGTTTGAGGGCTTGGGGGGGTCTGGGGAGGGTCCCTGGGGGATGTTGGGGGGTCACGGGGGTCCCAGGAGGGCACAGGGGGACTGGGGGGGCGGTGGGATGCCAAGGAGGGGATGGGGACAGTGCCAGTGAGCTGCTGGGTCAGTGAGGGGTTTGAGGGTTGGGGGGGTCTGGGGAGGGTCCCTGGGGGAAGTTGGGGGGCTTGGGGGGCGGCCCAGGGGGTGCAGAGGGGTGGGGGGATGCCAGGGAGGGGGGTGGGGTCAGGGATGGGGACAGGGACAGGGACAGGCGAGTCAGGGCACATTCCTGGGGGTAATAAACCCCCCGGGGACAGGAATGGGGACAGGAATGGGGACAAGGGACCCCCCAGGGCAGGGATGGGAATGGGGACAGGGATGAGGACGAGGATGGGGGACAGGGATTGCCAAGGGCGGGGATGGGATGGGCTCAGGGGCAGGGATGGGGATAAGGGACCCCCCCAGGGCAGGGATGGGGATGATGGGGATGGGGATAGGGGTTGCCAAGGGCAGGGATGGGATGGGCTCAGGGACAGGAATGGGGATAAGGGACCCCTGAGGGCAGGGATGGGGATGATGGAGATGGGGGCAGGGATTGCCAAAGACAGGGATGGGGACAGGGAGCTCTTAGGGCAGGGACAGGGACAGGGATGAGGACAGGGATGGGGATGGGGACAGGGATTGCCAAGGGCAGGGATGGGGACAGGGACAGGGATGGGGATGGGGACAGGGACAGGGATGAGGATGGGGATGATGGGGACAGGGACAGGGAGCTCTTAGGGCAGGGATGGGGATGGGGACAGGGACAGGGGTGAGGACGGGGATGGGGACAGGGACCTCTTAGGGCAGGAATGGGGACAGGGACAGGGATGGAGACAGGGAGGGGGATGGGGATGGGGGCAGGAATTGCCAAGGGCAGGGATGGGATGGGCTCAAGGACAGGAATGGGGATAAGGGACCCCTGAGGGCAGGGATGGGCACAGGGATGAGGACAAGGACGGGGATGGGGACAGGGATGGGGACAGGGACCCCTCGGGGTCCTGCACTGTGTGTGTCCCCATGTCCCCGAGTGCCATGTCAGTGTGTCCCCACGGCCCTGGGTGCTGTGTCACCATTT